TAAGTATCTGGGCGACCAAGCTTTGCTTGGCATTAGAAAAATGACATATCTATATGAACTTGAAAAGTAAAACCTATTCTAAGTTTAAAATGTCATCCAAATTGTTGAAGCCGTTTTCAAGAAACAAAATTAGAATTGCTTGCTTAAAGAATCTATATCATTTATTTTAAATTCCGCGTATTTAGAGAAGCACTCATATATTCGCAGGCAAATAATATATAGTTTAAGCGTAAGGGTTAGAAATTGAGAAACAATAATTATACTTATTTATTACTTACTTATTAATAATATATGTTTATAATTATAAAAAGTTAATATTAAATAAGCGTATAATATTCAATGTGTTAATTAAACGAGTGCATATGATATAAATGTTTTAGAGTGATTAAAAGTAAATAATGAGAAGTACGAAATATGTTGTGTTCTGATGACTGTTCGTGTAATTATGTTTAAAGCCTTGTTAAAACAACGATGATGCCCGCTGTAGCGACGCTATAATTTGTACTTAATTAATTCAGTCCCGTTTTAAATATTAATATTTTTACGTAAGTTTTCTTTTCGTGCTTCTAGCGTATGAGTAATAATAATTACATTATTATTAAAGGTTTAAAAAATTTCAAAATATTGCGCTTATTCTAGTGAGAATAAAATGTCTTAGTCATCAAATTATTATGTTGTTATCGCTTATAATCATCTAAAAAGACATTAAAAATACATAGGGTGACCAATTTTTAGAGATGACGTTATTCTAGTGGATTTCAACTACTTACTAATTGAAATTTAGGCCAATTTCGATTAGAATTGGAAGGTTTTAACTGCTCAGAAAATTTTATAGTGAAGGCAATGTAGATACGTTCTTACACAGATGGAACATAATAATAGTAGGCTACTAACAGAACTATCATAAAATAACATAAACACTCACGCCTTTCACCCAGAGGGGTAGTCAGAGACTACAGATTTCCTTTTGGTGGATTGCGGAAGCCCGTCTAAGGCCCGCCCCGACCCATACATACGGAATTCCGTTTTGTCCGCAAAATTTCGAACGGAAAAATACGGTGTGTGACGGGTCTTGATTTTATATGGACTTGTTACGTTCGGAATCCCTAGTCGAAATTCCGAAACGGAACGAACGGGTCGGCCACACATATGGAATGCCGTTTTGCCCGCAAAATTTCGAACGTAAAAATACCGTAGGTGTGTTATGCGTCATTGATTTTATATGGACTTGCTGCATTCGGAATTCCGAAATGGAATCCCGAAATGCAAGTTCCGTATGTATGTGTTGGGCCTAAGTGTGTGACAGGTCCTTAATTTTATATGAACTTGCTGCGTTCGGAATCACGAATCGGAATTCCGAAACGGAATCCCAAAACGGAATTCCGTATGTATGTGGCCGACCTAACCGAACTAAATAGGTATTTATAAATTTGCCGGCCATATAGCGCCCAGAACCGACGATCGATAAGGAAGAAGAGTGGCAGTTTCCGAACGTGAGCCCAACACGCTGGCCTAACATGTACCTTTTCGATAGATTTTGCCACCATCAGTCGATATTCAGAGCCCTTAATCAGTCGGATGCGTCACATACAGGTAAATAAAGCTAGCATTAGGGTAAAATTGTGACGTGTGAAGTAAAAGAAAAGTGTGTGCAGGTACTAGATGTACTTCTCTACTGCCTAGGACTCCCTCAGTGTAGGTACCACGTTCTTACCTATTTCTGCTTTTCCGGTCTGAAGTGTGTTGTGGGTATTTGTATTATTGTATACGTAGGTAGTTATGAGAGGAATTAATCAGTTGTTGTCTCGCTAACGAACGTGTATATATATTTTGCAAACACAACATGGTGTCAGAAGTAGGATCATAAGCATAGTAAACGCTTAAAATCGAGGACTTCAATAGAATAATTGCAACATATATATATATATATATATATATATATATATATATATATATATATATATATATATATATATATATATATATAGCATAATATTTATGAAAAGTAGTAAACTGTGAAATAATTCTATAACGTGTGTCTTGCAATTAACAATGGAGCACGCGCGTCCGTCCACCTAACGAATTACAGTTAGACGGCGGACCCGTCAGCAGGGCTGATGCTTGGAAGAGGTGGAGACAACAATTCATATTATTTGTGAAAGCTTTGGGTGTGCACTCGGAGACATCGGCAGTAAAAGCAAGTTTACTTCTCAATTTAATTGGTTCAGAAGGATTCGACATTTATCAAACTTTTATGTTCACTAAAGAAGAGGATTGTGATGGTGTGCAAACAATATTGAGTAAATTTGATGAATATTTTGGAACTAAAATTAATATTACATTGCTTAGATACAAATTTTTTACTCGCAATCAAGAGGAAGGTGAAAACATACAGCAGTATGTTACGTCATTGCGGTTATTGAGTAAAAATTGTAAATTTGCAACTTTAGAAGAAGAGCTGATAAAGGATCGAATTGTGTGTGGTATAAATAGCACAATAATCCGGGACCGTTTACTAAGATGTGAGGACCTAGACCTGGACAAAGCTGTGAAGTTGTGCCAGGCCAACTCAAGGTCAGCTAAGTACTAGTAGTATGTGTGCTAGTATAGTGCAGGTGGATAGTGTCAAATAAAGGAGAGGACAACGCGACGCCGCAGGCGCCGCGCCGGCCGCGCCTCACGGGGCTCCGCGCTGCGCTGCCCGCGCTGTGGACTCGAGCGCTGTGCAATGCCTCGATGTCCGGCCGTTTACGCCACTTGTTTCATTTGTGGTAAACAAGGTCACTTCGCTCGGGTATGTAAGCAGAATATAAATAGTAATAAGGCCGGTGTAAACCGTGTATATGACATTGAGCAAAATCAAGATGTTACGCGTTCTATAGATTGTGAATCGTTTTTTATATCAACCATAAATGGTCAAGAAAAATCTTCAGATGGCTGGTTCGAAACATTATATTTTGAAAAGGGTATCGAAAACTTTAAATTGGACACGGGGGCGGATATAAATGTTTTATCTTTTGAAAGATTTTTGCAACTGGGTTTTGATTCCAACATAATAAAAAATGATTGTATTAAATTAGAATCGTATAGTGGTCATATAATACCAGTAAGAGGCATTTGCTATTTACAATGTTTTTATAAAAATGTTTGTTATAATTTAAAGTTTGCGATTGCCGATTTACATTGTCAAACCGTGCTGGGACGACAGTCGTGTGAGAAGTTAGGGTTGGTCAAACGAGTTCATGAAATTAATATATCAGACTATGATGACTTATTTAGTGGTATTGGGTGTCTTCCAGGAAAGTATCATATTGATTTAGACGAATTCGTACCATCGGTGATTTGTAATCTTAGGAAGATTCCGTTAAGTTTACGTGAACGTCTAGCGGATGAGCTTAAAAATATGGAAAACCAAGGTATAATAAGAAAAGTTTCTCATCCAACTCAATGGGTGCATCCACTAGTTCTAGTCGCAAAAAAAGGACAACGGGATTCGTGTATGCTTAGACCCACGAGAACTTAACCGTGCGGTGCGGCGCGCGCATTTGCCACACGCCACGCGCCAATTGCCCACAGTGTCGGAGCTCGCAGCGCGGCTACACGGAGCACGCTTCTTTTCCGTCTTGGATGCCAACTCAGGTTTTTGGGCTATACAACTGGATGAGCAGAGTGCAGAATTGTGTACATTTGCCACACCGTTCGGTCGATATCAATTTCTTCGTTTACTGTTCGGTATTAATTGCTCATCCGAAGTATTTCACGCTAAAAAGAGGCAGCTTTTAGAAGATTTAGAGGGCAAAGATAGTTTTATAGATGATATAATTGTCCGGGGAATGAACAAGCATGAACACGACAGAAGACTAGTTGCGTTGTTACAAAGAGCTAGAGAAATTAAATTAAAATTAATTAAAAAAAATGCAAAATAGCAGTTGAAGAGGTTACTTACTTGGGACATATTTTTGATAAAAACGGTATGAGGCCCGACCCTAATAAAGTAAAAGCCATTTCTGAGATGCCTCAACCTTCAGACAGAAAAAGTTTAGAAAGATTTTTGGGAGCAGTTAATTATTTATCGAAATTTATTCCGTGTTATTCTAATCGCGCTCTTACCCTAACGAATTTATTAAAAAAAAAGATAGTAGTTGGCAATGGGAAATTAGTGAGCAGACAGCATTCGAAAAATTAAAAGAATGTGTTTGCACAGCGCCAGTGTTGGCGTTGTACGACGAGCCTGTCTTGTTATCGGTAGACGCGTCTCGCGATGCACTCGGTGCGGTACTACTGCAGGGTGGTCGGCCGGTTGAATACGCCACGCGAACTCTTACAGATACGCAACGCCTATAATAAAAATGCTAATAAAATTGCTCAAAATGTACTCAATGATAATAATAATCAGGCATCTACACCATGGCCACACCCTCTCACACGTAGTAAGGCCCGACGACTCAACATAAAAATTTAATATTAATTAATTTTACGGTACAAATATAATAAATTTTAAGTTAGAGTTATAAGAAATTTCGTTTGTTTCAGTTATTTTTTTTATAAGGGGGATGGATGATATTATATCTTTATTAATAAGGGGAGATGTTGTGGGTATTTGTATTATTGTATACGTAGGTAGTTATGAGAGGAATAAATCAGTTGTTGTCTCGCTAACGAACGTGTATTATTGCAAACACAACAAAGTGTATAGAGACATTATAATTACAGGATGTAAGGCATTCCACCTTAGTCCTCAGAAGTGACAACACATCTGTAGATGTCTTTGTTTGCTGGTGTCTAAAGCTTGCAGAAGCCACTTATCATCAGGTAGATAGTAAGTTAGTTTGCCACTTCAACGTTACAGCAGCTGGCTCACTACTATAAATGAAGTAAAAGCGGGATCGATGTAAAACAGCAGCAAATTTTTTTCTTCAGATTATAATTCTTAATAATAATAAAAACAAGTAACAGCTCATACTGTAGCATCCGTAACGAGTATTGTTTTGCTTTGTATCATGTTCAGACTAGTGTTGGGCTTTGACGATGCAAAGGGAGGAAAGGCTGACCGTCGGAGCTCTGATTTATGCCCTCGTAAAGTTGCACACGCCGCTGCCCTAGCGCTCACCGGTATAATTTATTGTACTTGCACAAGTCACGTTTCGAGTCCCTTGCACAGGTTAGTTAGACTTGCTGCTAATAATTTAACAGCTTATCGTGAGGGGACTATAATAGTTATTTGTACAATATTTATCTATATATGCTATGATACTTCAGGCTATTAGTCAAACGAGTTCGTATAGACACCCATTAAGAAATTATATCATTTTAAAAACATTCTAAACTTTAATTTTACTTGTTACTATACTAACAAGTTCCATCATCATCATCATCATTACAGTCCGTCACAAGTTCATTGCTAAACATAGGCTGAACTGCATCTCCTATTAGGTCGTCTCTACATATTGCGTGGTGTAAACTTAGTAAATAATAAGCTACTTAATTAGGTGCCAAAACATACAAAATAATAATCTAATTCATTTGTATTGTAGGTTGTTTTTTAAGATATAAAATAAAATCTTTTTTATTTGAGTAGTTTAAAATAGATCCGAAATGATTGTTTTAACTGATTAATATGACAAAAACGTAGGTAATTTTAATTTAATTGGTGATTCCACATTAGTATAATTTATAAAACCTATAAATCCTTGTTGAATTACATTATTTATAGGCACCTTGAATCAAGAAATGCTTTAGGTCAACAAAGTTTTGTACGATTCCGTGATAGAGGTCTTCCGAAACGTGGTTCGCCGCGCCGGAATTACAAAAAGCATCCGTCTGTAAAACGCGTGAGCTATGTGAAACGTTCAATACCGCTGAAATAAATACTGTGGAAATTCGCGATCGATCTATGGGAGGATCGGAGCTGCATTGAGATTGGTTGGTGGGCGTGGTGGTTGTTATCATGGAAATCGCGTCAACCAATAGTGGCAAAGCTGTGATAAGAGGGTTGGGGTTGCACAGCAGGGTGGCCGCAGTACGCCTGACGGAGCGGCCGAGGGCGGTCGCGTGAGCATGTTGGGTACAATGATGTACCCCGGCGACGACGCCGAACTGGACATGCGCGTACCGCCGATACAACTGGAACATCTGCCAGAAGTGTTCCTTTGTACGTACCTACTTAAATTGTATTACGTAGCGGAGTGACTGTGATTGTACTTAGTGCACTTTTAATATTTTAAAATCTGTGTTTCATATCAATTTTATCGTTATTTGCGTACCCTGCAATTATATTTGTGATAATACATAACATAGTATTATAATTCTGAGTATATAATATGTACATACATTTGTATTTCGAACATGAAAAAAATTAAAAAGTACAGTAAGTAGTGTTCATATTATTCTTACGTTCTGACTCCGTTATGTTGTGCAGCCAGTATCCCGAAGTGCGGCGGCTGCCAGGAGATGATAGTGGACCGGTACGTGCTAAAGGTGTCAGACCGCACGTGGCACGCTGGCTGCCTGAGGTGCGTTGAGTGCCGCACAATGCTGTCTGGCAAGTGCTTCGCCAGAAATAATCAACTCTACTGCACTGAGGACTTCTTCAAGTAAGCCTCTTTACATTAATATAAAGTACACAACAAACGACAGTAGCCTAATGGCGAGGCGCGGACCGCGAACTCAAAAAGGTCGTGGGTTCGAATCCGCCATTTGACTACTGGCGTGAACCACTCGTAACACAAGCAATTTAAGCTTATCACGAGTGGTTAAGGGGAATATTAGTAATTTATATAGCATTGTTTATATTCTTTTAAAAAAGTCTGAATAAAAAAATTAAAAATAATATTTAAATTTGATGCAATGTTATTTTCTTGTTATAAATAGCTTTTGGTTCTAATTTATCCTCTTTTTATGTAATGACGAGCAGAAGGTATTTATTCCCTGTGCTTTGTCAGGTTGCTTTATCTTTATCATAATGCACGTTTATTTTATTTTTGTAATATCTAAGTGGTAGGTTTTCTTATATGTTGAGGATTACGTGCCTATACCGAGAATTTACTATTTACGAAACTTTTAGATTTCCTATAGGACTCGATATAAAGTGTAGAAGGAGGATCAAAAACCATTTAAAAAACAAATATATCAATTCTACAACTAAATACGGCTTAAAGTTGTATTATTTTAAGTCGTTCTAAGCTGTAAATAAATAGTTTGTGATAAAAAAGATTTTGAAATCAAATCGTAATAAGTGCATGGAACGTTGGTACGGTCTATATATATTTGCTCTGGGTCTGAGTGTTGGTCCATATTTATATTTATTTTTATGTAAAAAAAAATTTTTACGGTACAGAAGAAAATTCTAGTACGGTCGTTAAGTCAATCAAAAAACAAAAACAAAAAACAGATAGAGCATACATTGGAACCAGACCCTTGCGTGAGGTTTACCATATTGACCGATAACCACTACTTTTACTATTTTAAAATGTTTTAAGTAGGCAACAGACAGTAGACCGCTAGAACCTTAGAGTATGTATATAAAGTTTATGTACACTCTAGGTTAAAAGATTTGACACTTTATAAGCCGATTTAAGAAAAGAGGAGGTTTTGAACGTTAATAAAATCTTCGTCAATTGTGAATAAATTTTAATGATTCTTATTGTATAAAAAAAAAACAGTCAGCCGGATTATTTGGATTTAAATATTTTGGCGACATTCTAATTGTTTAGTTTAATATTCATTAGTCCACTCAAAAAGGTATAATAATAAAAACTTTTAAGAAGACGGTTTTAATTTTTCTGAAATATACTTAATTATAGTTGTTTAAAATAATTTCTTTGACAGCCTAACTTCTGATCAACTAATGACTGTGCGAATGCTAATGTAGCCTATGTCTAGCAGTGGACTTTCGATAGGTTGTATGTTGATGATGATCTATTAAGTTACGTTTATGGTTAGGTTAAGGACTTTATACGAATATACATACATTTTGTAATAGCACACTTAGTGATCATTGAACTTCTCAACATCATAGCTAAGATCCGATAGGTACTTCGATACGCTATTTATTAGCACCAACTTCAGAATGGGAGATTATTTTATGTTTTGTTGTTGTTTAAAGTCGGTCTTTACATTTTATTAAAAGTTAATTACAAGCAACTCTGCAACTTTATTTATTTCGTAAATAAATGTTATCACGTTGTCAAAATAAACGATAAATAATACGAAAATTTTGATTTATGTCGGATACTACTTTAAACTCAGTCACAATATTCTTGAACAAATCTATGGTATAGAAATATTTTATCTCAAACGTCATAAGTTAATATCTTTATATTTATTTTTATCTTACGTTTATATAAATATCATCTGACTTACCTATATATATACCAACACGAGGGGAATTGCAGATGCGTTGCCGGCTTTAAAAAAAATAACAGGCTCTTTTCTACAAGGTCCCCAAGTCGTAACGGTCCGAAAAAGTCGCCGGTGGTAGTCGATTCGACAAGGAAGTTTTTCGAAGAAGAAAACTTGTTGTAATCAGTGGTGGACCGCAAATCATCCAGATTGTATGGAGCATTTATTTACGTAATATAACAATGTAAGTTTGCTTATGCTGTTCGCTACAATTAATATTGTATAGATATTATTCTTAGAGTGTTCTAACAATAATATCTATACAATATTTATTGTATGTATTCAACTCAGCTGGGCAGCGTTGGAAAACTACGACACATCTTCTCGTCAGGTACACTTCAAAACCTGAAAACTAGTTTGTACAATGAGTGTGAGTTTTCCCAGTGATGACTTATGGATCTGAGACGTGTTCCTTCACTGCTGGCCGTATAATGACGCTCAAGGTCGCTTAGCGAGCTATGGAAAGGGCTATGCTCGGAGTTTCTCCGCGTGATAGACTTAGCAATGAGGATATCCGCAGTAGAACCAGAGTGATCAACACAGCTTAACGGAATAGCAAGCTGAAGTGGCAATGGGCCGGTCATATAGCCCGAAGAACCGACAACCGATAGGGAAAAAAGGTTCTCCAGTGGCAGCCTCGTACCGGGAGGCATAGTGTAGGGCGATCCCCCACTAGAGAGAGTGACGACCTGGTAAGATAAGCAAGAAGTCGATGGAACCAGGTGGCTCAAGACCGTGCTTTGTGGAATTCCTTGGGGGAGGCTTATGTTCATCAGTGGACTTGTGAAGAGCTGTAAGGATGATGATTATGTAGGTATTGTAATAATAAAAGTAGCTAAAACAAAAAACTAAAATTATAATACAAACCTACTTCGTGCGATATAGTGAAGAACGTTGGCTGCGTTTTCTTGCTGAAATGCTACACATTTTTAACGAGAAAAGAACCAGTCTTCTTGTCACCAGCGGCGATAACTAGTCTCAGATAAAGTTAAAATAATTACTTGAGCTTCTACTGTCAAAATCAATTAATAAAGAAATTATGAACAATATTTTTACTTGAGTCATTACTAACACATCAGGTTTTTCGTTCTAAAGTGTTTTAATCGTTCAACTCAAAAGGTACTTTTTTGTTTTTGTCTCCACCTAAAGATTCATTTGAAAAAAGATTCGTTAAAGTCGGTTCACAATTTATGAAGACATCGCGTAATATGCATTCAACAAACTATATCTATTTTTTGGATTATTTTTATATATTTTTTGTATATTCTATATATTATCAAATATTTATTGAAGTCGGCCTAAAAACGGCTAAAATTGATGTTATCGTTCCTTTTCTCCTACGATAGCATTATCTTTTCTTTCATATTACAAACTGTATAGTACTACTTGGCCTTAAACAATTTTACTCTTAATTGTGAATATTATAAAATAGTATTAAAAACACATTACAAAAGACTCGTGTTGGGACCGACAGCAAATGCTCACGCCTCTCAACATACAGCAAATTTCAAAGGAGTCTTTGGACTTACTGTAAGGGAGACTCTTTTAAGAAGCATTTCAGACTTTTATTAACTAGCAACTAGTTATATTGAATAAAATTTACAGATTTTATTGCATTAATTTTAACTTAATTTTCATTCCCGGCCGATTTATAGCACCCACGGTCACGGGAGTACTTCAGTGTGTAGTTTTCGCGTAAGAAGATAATAATTAATTATAAAAATTATGTTAATTAATTTTCAAATTTGTAACATAAAATCGTTTAAAAGGATAAAAAATGTATGTAAAAAATTCTGTCGAAGAATTCGTTAAAGGCGTTTTGTCATCTGAAAAAATATCCCAATTCAAAGAAGAAAAACGGAAATCATCAGGAATAAGGTCTGACGAGTATCTACGAGTACGCTACATAACGGAGAATTTTCAGCTAAGAGTCTTTCTGAGACAGTTCGTTGTGCAGTGTGCGAAAGAGCGCTGTAGTGCCGAGAGAGGTTGTGGACGAGAGCGATTGAAAATTCTCGGTATTCATCATTGCTTGCATTTTTGACAGTATACTTCAGCAGCAGTTATTGTTGTACTAAATCTCAAGAAACTGTATGAATAATACCGACAGAAATTCACCTTACATAAGTGTAATTTCATTAATTTTCGTGTGAGATATGGCTGCACTCCCAAAGTCAAACCATTGTAAATATTATTCGAGATTATCATACAAGCCCCCATTATAATCTCAAGTGACAACGAGACGCTAGGATTGAAAAACACCGTAAATCGTTTTACGATAAGAAAGGCCTATGTCTAGATTATGTTTGTAGCGAGGTTCAACCACGTATGGTTTTCATACGTGGTAGAGCAACGCTTGAAGCAAAAACGTAGCATAGCTTTGCACGAAGCTTGCATGATCGATGTTTGAAAATGTTTAGGCATAACAAACACTGTAAATCTTTTTACGAGATTTATGTTTTACGATCAAGAGAGGTGTTATATCTAAATTAGAATGTTTGCAGCGGGTTTTTACCACATAAGGTCTTCATACGTGGTAGAGCGCTGATGGCATATTATGGTTGCTATATGAATAGGTCTACTTGACCGGGGAAAGACCACGCTTTCACTGAATATTGAATATAATTTCATGAACAGCGTAAAATTGTAACTCTATGCTGCTGTGTTTCTCATGGTGAGTGTAAGAAAATGATGACTCTTTTCCTTTTTCCTGTAGCAACAAGGCATTTCATCGTAGTCGTTAGGAGTATATGTATTTGATCCCATCTATATATTTGATTTTTGATCAAGGATAAAAGTAGGTGCCTATGATTTACAAAGTGGATTCTGTTACCATCAGGTGGACGGTGTGCTCGTTTGTCATCCTACATTCATCCATCCATCCACTACAGCCTATAAAAGCCCACTACTGAACATTGAGCATTGGCCTCCCTATGGATTACCTCATAGGGGAATGTTGCAATAGTTGCCACGCTTGGTGGGCTGGTTGGCAGCCGCAGTATTTCATTATTTTGAGTTTTTATCAGGAAGATGGGACGATTAATGAATAAATGAATGAATGAATATACTTTTATTGTACACCACAAACAAATATACAGATATAACAAAACAAAAAGCGGATTATATGTACAATTTGGCAGTCTTATCGCTACATAGCGATCTCTTCCAGGCAAGATATTTTACTCGATATAAAATTTGTCGTTAACAAATAAACAACAAATGTCACGTTGATAATGTTGTTGTGATTGCGGCTGTTGTCCCAGGCGGTTCGGTACCAAGTGCGCGGGCTGCGGGCAGGGCATCCCGCCGACGCAAGTGGTGCGGCGAGCGCAGGCGCACGTTTATCACATGCGGTGCTTCGCGTGCGCAGCCTGTGCGAGGACGCTCAACACCGGTGACGAGTTCTACCTCATGGAGGACGGGAAGCTGGTTTGCAAGCCCGATTATGAAGCGGCTAGGGCTAAAGGTGTGTACAAATACTTTACTTATCAACATTTTGTTTTATAATACAACAGAACAAAACAGAACTCTCGGTATAATTGCGGCAAAGGTACGTCCGTCCATCCGTTTGATAAAGACAATTTTCTCTAAAGCTAATGTCAGATTAAAACCTTGATGCACGACATTCATCATAATTATACTTACCTATAAATTACATGGTGTATTTTTAATTGATTTTTTTTACATTCTTATCTTTATTTTGCCAATGCTTTCATTAGAGATTATGTATGAAAAAAGTTTCCAATGAGTTTTATTAATTGACACGAGTTCACACATGCAAAAGGCGGCGAGGGCTCGCTGGACGGCGACGCAGCGAGCAAACGGCCGCGCACCACAATCACCGCCAAACAGCTGGAAACGTTGAAAAGCGCGTATAGCAGCAGTCCCAAGCCGGCGCGGCATGTACGGGAGCAACTCGCGCAGGACACCGGTCTCGATATGCGCGTAGTGCAAGTCTGGTTTCAGAACCGGTGAGTTATGCTATGATTTAATCAATTTATTTTGGTAAGGGACTCGAACGGTTGTACTTTTGCCAGTGTCATGTAATAGGAAATGACCTTTTTTTTTTCAAAAACTTCCTTACAATATGTTGATGCATTACATTGCGGTGTCTTTAGAAGATTTTGATGTCAACTTAAGCCAGTACATGGTTGATGACGACAATATCACAAGATCTTAAGACGCTGCAGCGGTAAAAATATTTACCTAAGGTTTATTTCAACATCGGAGCACTTGTTTCGTTGTTTCTACGAATAGTTGTGTATGGGCAAACGCTTAATTTATAAAATTGCATCATTTTCAAGTATTAAAATCCACAATCTATTTTATTAGCCAACTTTAAATAAGAAGTAGGTTTAATTTGACTTTATGTTTTTTTTGTATGTATATTAGGCGGCATCTTCGACAAATATGAACCAATTTTGATGAAACTTTTTTTTGTTATTTATACTTTTTGGACGAAATATTAATTTGGTGGAAACATTCTACAGCTAAAGGTGAAAAGTTTTTGATGTAACTATTAACACGGCGTCGAGAATTTGATATTCACAGAACTTAACAGAATAAATTAATTTCACATTCTAAAGTCGGGATTTAGTTGTTATAAATTGGCAACAATTTCAGAATGTTACATTATTTACATAATATAAGATTACATGTGCCTGTTGGTTGCATTGTAGGCACAGAACGTAGTGTTCATATTATATTTTTCGTCTTTCGGTGTGAAGTATCATCGAAAATCGGCTGATAAAGAAATAAAAACTTGTATTCTAGACCATGCTGCTTGATCTTTTTCTCATAATCTACCGCTGGACGCATAACCATAATTGCTACTAAGCTTTATACGCCTTTGTCGATTGTTCTTGTAGCCTGTTTGGGTATTTTACATATTATGTCATGTACAGGCTGTTGGTAAAGCGACATATTGGAGGTCATAAGGTTTCCCTGGCAGTTTCCATAATCGTCTCGACTCTCATGGGACTAAATGAAGCGAAAGATGGATTCTTTTACACCGTCAATACAACCGCACAGTGAATTATATACCTCAGAGGCAATGTTAATATTACTCTAGACCGATCAGGTGTGATTATCCGTCATGGCGGCCAATCTCAACGGAGCTTAGGGGATTAAAGTGCCCGAGTCTATGCGCAAGCACAGTTACACTCTCTATTTCTTCTCTCTCATAGTTCGATTGGAAGGTAAACCGACAAGACACAAAAGAAATCAGGCGCAGGACCAATAACTTTACGTGCTCTTGGGAAGCCCGGGGTCATACTGCTACTGAGAATTTTTACGAGTAGACAGAAAAATATAGTACCTGATTTGGATCTGAACTAGGATTCGAACCCGGGACTTCAAGATCAGCAATCGCGTTTACGACTACTGGTCCATCAAGGCAGTGGCTATAGAGGATATAGGCTTATTCGGATAGAGTAGATATAGGCACAGAATAAATAATAATTTTTTTAATAGAATATAGGTAACAAACGAGCACACAGTCCACCTGATGGTAAATAGATGCTGTGGCCCATAGACATCTACATTTATCCTAGATTAAGAATCAAAACGCAGATACGTTGTCACCCTTGAGGACTAAGATGGAATGCCTCGTTTTCAGTAAAAAGGGTATCCGGATATCTACACTCACCATACGAAACACAGCAGTATTGAGCTGCTATTTTACGCTGGTATTCTGTGAGAGCGTGGTCCTTCCCCGGTCGAGCCAACCTATTCGTGCTACAACCATAATAGAGCTGCAGCGTGGCTCTACCACGTACAAAAAGTTATAAAGGTTTATTAGTAAGCAGTATCTAGTTATTTCTATTATTGATTTTTATCCCTATAACTTTAATGAGTCTATTAAAAGTCCCTGCCAAATTCACAGTATTTACCACTTTTTACAAACTTCACAGACGGAATATTGATATGAGTGTTATTCATAATTTTAATACACGTATTAAATCTAAGCTTACTATACAACAGTACCTAGGTGTTTACAAATGGACGTAACAAAATAAAATAAAATAAAATAAAATACGGTCGCTGGTAAAAATGATAATATAATGACTTGCTAATCTTTGCTGGTACAATGGTAAGACCTTTCTAAAAAACGATTGCCGCTGAGCGCCCTCTGGCGCCTTGTTTTATACTGCTGATTATTAGTCGGTGTTGCCGCAACACCAGCCTTCGTAAAACTATTAGCTCAATTTCGCATAGATGTTGAATAAATTATCACAAAATTCCATATAATATTACAGACTTGTATAACTTTAGAGTGCAT